CTCCGACATCCAAACAGTCATCTTATCACCAAGGTAACGGTTATTGATGAAAATGCGCAGTTGGCACCACACGAGCAACAACACACGGTACATCAGCCGAAACAACTTCAGCAGCTTGACCATACAGCTACTACTGTCTAGACCAACATCCTCTTCAATTCTCAAACTCCGACATCCAACCAGTCATCTTATCACCATGGTATTAAACGGTAATTGATGAAAAGGCGCAGTGGGCACCACACCAGCAACAACAATAGGTCCAACAACCGGAACAGCTACAACAGCTTTACCACCTACCACTGTCTAGACCAACACTCACTTCACCGTCTCAAACTCTAACGTCATGGTAACATCACCATGATAACAGCGGTCGATTAGGATGCACATTCAGAAGAATAGAACTTATTGATCAACATCTCTCTTACTAGTGATCTGAAGTTACTAATTATTTCCCCGCGTAGGTTTTGTGTCTTAACATCAATAAACAAGATCGTGATTTTTATGTATATTTTGTTTTCTTTCGCTTATTTATGATTATTCAAAGATAAGTAAAAACGTTCATTAAAATAAAAAAAAATATTCAAACGTGTTTTGATCATTTTTATTTGACTTTGTTTGAATTGTGATGATGAAGACATTGATGTTTAATTTTGCGACGAAGAACTATAAAATAAAGTGATTGGTAAGTGTATGTTACAAATATGTAGAGAGATTGATAACGTAAGAAAAAAAAAGAACATCCGATTGAGAGAGAGCGAGAGAGAGAGAGAGAGAAGAAAAAAAGAGAGAGAGCGAGGATATGTGATGAGATAAAAAGAGAGGGCGGATGAGAGAGAGAGAGAAGGAGAAAGAGAAAGAGAAAAAGAAAGATAGGGGAGAGAAAGAAAGAAAGAAATATAGGGAAACAGACAGACATAAACGAAACAAACTGATAAAGATAGAGAAAGGAGAAGAGACATGGAAAGAAAAGGGAAAGAAGGATAATAATTAATTTATTACGAAGAGTCATTTTTGTTGCGAACAGTGAAACATATAACTTCGCTAGCAAGACATTTCTGCGAAGTTTCGCGAGCGGAACAGACAAAAGTGCTATGCCGCGAAATGATTGAATTAAAACATTACATTTATGCACAGTCGAATAATCCTGACATAAACATTTGGACAATTAAGTTATCAAAATGATCTTTTACTAAAATTTAACTAAATATAATGAATACCATTCCTAAGTAGTATCAAGGTATAAACCTTAAACATTATGTTCCATATATTAAAATGACTGATATTACATGTATATGAACTTGTATGTATCCTATAAGCATAGGCCTATCTCGCAGGGTTGCAAATCGGGAGGCCCTAACATTTCTACAGGTTTTTGCATTCTAGATATTTGTTGGGATTTAAGTCGTAGTGACAAAGTAAATTATTGAATTAAACTCTTGGAATTATTAAAGTATAACAAGTAACTCTCATTGTAATGCCTTATTCGTCTACACATTACGTTTCTATGGGATATATTGATTTTACATATTTCAAACATGAATGTTTCCTTTCTATTTTTTCATAACTATTCTTACGATTCTTAAAAATAATCTGTTAAAATATTGCCAATATTAATGAGGCGGAAATATACAATGCCTCAAAAGACATCAACGGAAACATCAACAAAGCAAATTTGACGGAAAATCCCATTATAAATGATGTATTTATAATACAATTTGCGATGAACATGATATTACTACATGGTCATTCTAGTTAGTGTCATTTATTTAGATAAATATTGTCTCATCAAAACCGTATATAACCGAAATAAACATAGGCTAACTAAAAACAAACAAAGAACCAAACTAAAAACATATGAACAAATGAATTGGCCATTTTTCTTTTGAGTATTATGATGAATGATTCATTGCTTTGGTTTCGTTTTCATTCGAGTTATCCTTTGACAATGAGGCCCGATTAAACTATCCGAAATATCACTTATCAAATCACTTCTGATAGAAAAGTTAACAAGTCAATCTTGTACACTGTGAAAAGATTGGGCAATATTTTTTCAACACTTTGCCCAACGTTGTGCTTATAGTCAACCCAACCATCTATTGGGCAATATTTTGCCCAGTGGTATTGGTAAACGCAAGTACCCTACTTCACACGTGCATAATTGTTTCGTATTCTGACCAAAATGTCGGCAAAAGATATGACCCTTCAATCGCCCAACTAGGGTAGCCCACTTGTTGGGAAAATCTTGACCAACTGTTGGGCAAAATACGAAAATATTGCTCAATAGATGGTTGGGTTGACTATTGGCAAAGTGTATAATTTAACCCATGAACCTGTGAAACAGGAAACTATCACTAGAGAATTCTGCAGTGACAACACACTCCGAAAATGTAATAACTTTGTTTTCCTCCCTTTTGTTAAAGTATTTCTGACCCGCCTCGCACATGCGAGGTCACAGTCAGTGCATGGAGGGAAAAACAAAAATCGGTTTCATGTCGTAAATAATACATTTATAAAGCGCCATTCATTAGAAACAAAGTGCATATTCAAACAAGGAATACCTTCACAAAAATAAAGAAAAAGAACATGATCATACGAAGCTTACCATATCACATGCATTGTATACAGAAATGGGTTTATTGGATTTGATTTGATTCGATTTTTTTCTGCATTCATATAAGTATTAACAAAATCGATAACAATATCAATGTAAAATAGAATAAGTATTTCCTGGCAGTGAATCATGAATAAGCAAATATATATAACAATTGTTATTTTGAAAACGAAATGATAAAGTGTCATTAATTGGTCATTCATTAACTTCTTTCAAACGAATTTCTTATATTGTGTTTTTCTTGCATTTTAAAGCATTTTGTGTATTTTTTGACTGATGTAATGAAGAAAAAAAAAATCCCATTGGTTAGAATCGGAAATGTTTAATCATGTTAACAGGACATCGATGAAAAACAGCTTTGCTGATTCGATTGTCTCTTTTTTATCCTGTATAAATATGTCAAATAAATAAATAAATAAATTAATTAATTAATACTAAATTTCATCAAACATTATACAATTGTTTGCGTAAAAAAGGACTGTCAATGTAAGCAGATTGCTTGAAAATAAGACAGCCCCAGCAAAAAACTCATGAAATAGATAAAGACATTTATTTATTAAGCAGGATGGATAAGAAATTGAAAACACAAATTAAAGGATGATGGTTTTGACAATGCAGATGAGGAGGATGCTGATGATGATGATGATGATGATAATGATGATGAGGATGAAGATGATGATGATGATGGCGATGATGGTGATGACGATGATGATACACGTGGCATGAGAGTTTGGTCCAAACTTTTCAGCTACTATATTCTTTAACATATCGGGATTATAAAGAGGGACGTTTCTCTTATCAATTCTTAAAAACTGACATTCAAAGAATGAGAAAGCTCACAAAATTTTGTCATTTTTCCCTGAAATCAAACTTCTCTTCAAGCGAATAATAACAAAAGTTATTAAGGTATTTGAAGGAAATTGATTATTATATATTTGTGTATTGATGTTCTACTATAAAAACTATTTAAAAAAAAAATTGTGAAGTTTCGACCCAACATTTGGACTGGCAGAATTGCTTGGGGATTTATTTAGTAAAAGAGAAGAGAAGATACGCAGTTAAAGATAAAGTTGAGTTCTGGTCATGCGATTGCATTGTGAAAGAAACGGTGTGGAACCAACCAGAAAAGGTTGATCATCTAGCATATAAGAATTTGTGTGTATTGCAAGGTTCTGGAATCATCAAAATGATAAGAAATTTGGCCAAGTCTTGGTAAAGTTACAAACACTTGCACAGAAAGATGTATATGGGACTACACGAACACGTGGCGTAAAAAGCCGGCCCCCCGATTTTTACGATGTAACATGCATATTTAGAATATGAAGGCATTTGAAGAGCCATGCTTTTCAGGGAACATGTCTTAACTGATGTTCTTCCACACTTGCATAATAAGAATGAGTAATGCTCACAAATTATTTTTCACCTCTTCCCAGAACTCAACCTTCTCTTTAAAGGTAAGGGATGCAATTAGGTTTTAGGGTTGAGGGTCGGGGCTAAAATTAGGAATGTAGTTAGCTTATAAAGTTGACTTGAAGCAATTGTCGCATTTACTGTTTAACGACCCCCCCCCCCAAACCTCCCCCCATCTCTCTATCTCTCTTCATCTCTCTTTCTCTCTCTCTCTCTCTCTCTCTCTCTCTCTCTCTCTCTCTCTCTCTCTCCAGAACTTCTGCATTGGTGACCCTGTCCATGCACCTGCAGTAATTCCTTTCATTCCTCTCTAGGTAACATTTCCAAACTGCCAATCAACCTTTCCTCTGCTCACCTAATAATGTTGTCCAAGTTTAATTTGGAGCCATACAATGCTACTCTACAAACCGTACATAATTATGACAAGATTTTCCTTTGATTTACAACCCTAAATCCCTTTTTTTTTAAATTAGCGGAGTTTCGCCCCCATAATAATTCGCCCCATACCACCTGACTGTACTGACTGATGTTGGGTGTGGTCTCTCATTACCCCCACACAATATCCAAAAATGAAAGTTTAAAGGGCCAATCCACCCATTTTGGCCTCGATATTGACGCACATTAAGCTTGAGCTACAAGCCAAGGCGATTAATATTCCGAACAAAGAACCAACCGTCTGGGAAAATTAAATCAAGGTAAGTGGATTATTTGCAAAGCCTCGAAAACATTAGTCCACGAATGGAGTGGACAATGTTTCATTTCTCTGGCTTCGTGCTAGGTTAAAACATTGCATGCATCCTTGCAAAGAGCTTTAACTTAATCGCAAATATCCAGTCGTTTTTGCCCAACTTGTGTGTTCTAATAAATCCTCTTGAATCTAGAATTCAAACCTTATTTTTTTCTAGATTTGGGGAAAGTGTATAAATATGAGGTCCGTGACCACTACTGATCATTCAAGTCTAGAAGACAAACCGATAAGGAACCTGAAAAGAAGTAATTAGCTGTACCAAGACATAATCATCAAATCTTCAAAATGGCAACAACGGTAAGTAAAAACTAGGTTTTAACAATTCTACTACTATATGACAGCCACGAATGATCGATAAATTTGCATTGAAACCTGTACTGATATCAGGTTTTCTTTTTAATTTAGATTAATACTTTCAATACCTTGTTTGTGTTTTGTTTTTATAAACAATCAAATGTGTAATCTGCAATTTTAATTTTGTTCAAAGTCAATGAATTGTTGTTTGGTTTTAAAAAAATCATGTTGGAAGCTGTCTTGTAGATGAGAAAACGGTAAAATTCTTTCTATTTATTCCATGGATAAATTAAATCTAATATATAGAATAATTGTGTGTTTTTTTAGATGAAGCTGGTAATCTCACTGTGCGTGGTCGCCATATCATGCTTTGCCGTCTCAGATGCTTTCCGTAAGTCCTAAGAATAAGAGCTCATGCTAAACGTCAGTCATAAAAACAAAAACAAATATGTCAATGTATTCCATACGCTAAGGCAGGATAAAAATGTGAACATATGAGAGTGTAATGAATGGGGTAATATATTGTCATTTCTATTTGTACATTCATTAATAATATGTAGGCCTATATAACTTTGTGCATAGTTTGCTTTTATTGATCATAAACATAACATTCCGATTTTGTCGTAGCAGCGCTCTGATCAGTATGATGTAATAATAAACAAATAAGCGCTAAATAAGAAACAATTATCGTTATTGTTATTATTATAATTGTTATTGATTTTAGTAATATTTTCAATTATTATTATCATATCATTAGTATTAGTATTAGAAGTAGTAGAAGTATTAGTACTGGTATCATTATTAACATCATTATCTACATATCTATCTATTTTTCAGTGATGAGCGTCAACGAGCACCTGATCAAATCCTGCTCCGGTTTCGCCGAGAAGAAGCGCGGCGAGGGCTACCGTTGCAACTCCGAGGTCATCGACCACGTCCACGACTACGCCGAGCAGTTCGACATTGCCGGCTACGACGGTGACCTGGTCGAAAACTACCTCGACATGGCCAATGGCGGCGGTATGTGCTACTTGGAAGGTGCTGCTCTCCGCGTCGTAAAGGGTGAATGCGCAGCCATGGAGCTTGCCTGCAATGACGTTGAACCCAAGGTCATCGATTTCTGTTCCAGTGAGTGATATTACCATCTTTATTTTTCATATCTTGATAATTTTTGTATGGTTGCTATTTTACCTGACTGCTAAGAAAGCATTAATCCTTGTAATAGTAAGCAACCAGAGGATCGACTGCTTTAGGTCTTCTTCGAGGGACCTTCTTCCTGGACCCCCAGGAAGAACAGTGTCATATATTTTTATGACACTGAACGGGCAATCCAGCCAATCATTTTTAAGCAATCTATATACACATGTAATTTTTTTTTTTTTAATTCTGTTATGTTTCATTTCGTTTTATGTCATATGTTATTTGTCTTTTTAATATGATTGGAAAATAAATACAACAAAAGGATAAAGCGCATCGATTTGGTTTCGAACCCGGGTCGCCGGAAAACGAGACATAATGCTAAAAATTTGAGTAATTTTGGGGAGGCTCGACGTTCCGAACAGGTTGACCGGTCGCTTGCTGATGAAGTTTGTTTTTATCATGATGACGAACAGTCAACCTGCTCGAAACGTCAAGCCTCGTTCTCTCTTTGCATTCATAATTTTGTTCACCAGTCCATTTCAGGACTCGTCTCACGAAAGAACACCTCTCTTGAATTATCTGCCTATATTCAAACACTACCTTGCAAGTTCAGGCTATGGTCCCGTACATCACAAACGGCTTCTAAGACTTAAGTATATATCTTGATTGTATTAATTTAGTAGGCCAACTAGAACTGTTATCAGACCAAATATGAAATGAGAAGACATGTCTGATGTCAATGTATATAGATGTTCAGAACCCTACACTACTTTGTGACGTACAAGAGACCAGGTTACAAATATCTTGGACTTGCCCTTTACCTCATATCATTTTGTAATCACCACTGTTTTCTTCTCCCTTCTCACGTTAAACAGAGCTCAAGAAGGCCCAAGCAGCCGCCACCACGGCTACCCCGACCACCACCGATACCCCCACCGAGGCCCCAGAGAAGCCAGAGGTCGAGGTCCCCACCGTCGGCGGACGCGCTCACGCCTTCCAGTAAATTAACGCTTTCGATGACGAAGTCATTCACGCTTTCGTCGAGTCGTACTGTATCATATCACCATGGCGACGATAGAAAGAAATTAATAACGTCGTCATGAAAGGAAGCTGTAATTTCAATAGTTGGTGTCCAATTTTATTTCAATCATTTTGTTCGCAACAATTTCCTCTAGATGATATGGATCTATAATTTTGAATTTTCAAAGCAGTTTCAAATCGGATACAACATTTTGTTTATTTCCCTTGATACCGTCATCTGCAATATGCAGTTGGTTGTTAAACTGATTTTTGTTTGTATATTTGGTTTTGTACTTCATTTTAGTTGGCATTAAATTGATGATAAGATTACTATAAAAACAAATGATTCAAATTGATGTATGCCTTTGATATAGTTGTCAAGTGATTTACTGTAGTTTGAATGTACATGTAACTTCCCCGTTTTTCGTTATATGAAAATGAAACGGAGAGGGTCGGGGAGAGAGGGGGGATGAAGAGAGAGAGAGAGGGGAAAAGAAAGAGCACAAGAGACAGGGATAGAGAGAGGGAGAGAGAGAGAATGAGAGAGAGTGAAAGAGAGAGAGAGTGAGAGAGAGAGAGAGGGAGAGAGGGAGAATGAGAGAGAGAATGAAAGAGAGAGAGAGTGAGAGAGAGAGAGGGAGAGAGGGAGAACGAGAGAGAGTGAAAGAGAGAGAGAGAGAGAGGGGGATAGAGGGAGAGAGAGAGGGGTGGGGAAGGGGGAACAGGAGAGGAGACGTTAAAACAAGAAAACGATGGGCAAAATAATTTGTGTGAGAATGGGATATAGGAAATGAAGTAAAAAGGTAAGTGAAAATCCTTGTAAGAACAAATGAATAAGACTAAAATGGGAAAAAAGCAAGATTGAATAATTAATAATAATTCATATATAAAATAAGGTTATCAAAACAACTTCAGCATCAATAACATACTTGAAGCAGAAGGATTCGGAAACATTGTCTTGTACGGAAACATATATAAAGGGTTTGTTTTTTTGAAAATCATCTCGAAGCCCAAAGGCTGAATCGTGTGACATTTTACAATTTGATAAAAACATCAAAATACAATAAATACATGTGAAATCAAAAATTACATGATATAAATTTTAAAAATTCGGTCAAGTTTATAGTAAAAATATAAAATATAAAGATATATATAAATATGTACATGTAAAAATATTTCCTCTCCGAAATTCATTGATTTTAAACGGGTCGTGATTGTTTGTAACCAGACCGACTATTAAAATAGTTGCAACGGATTGTAAAAGTGAATAATTGCGTGATTTTAACAGATTTAAAAGATCAGTAAAATACAATGATATATTGGAAATTTACTTCAATTTGACAGAAAATAAGTTAAGATTTACAATAGCAAAATATAGATATACTTTTAATATTCATGGTTTTTTATACGGATCATGTGATGATCGGTTTGTGAACAGGGCTTCAAATCGTTACAATAGAGACAAATAGAGAGTGACCGATAAAATAGGAGAAAAGGGGGAAATTGAGAAAGAGAAAAAGAAAGACAGAGAATATGAGACAAAGAGAGGGAGAGGGAGAAAGAGAGAGAGAGAGAGAGAGAGAGAGAAGAGAGAGAGAGTGTGTGTGCTAGAAACAGAGGAGAGAATAGAAGAGGAGAAGATGTTTAGCAGTTACGATTGATGCAGCAATGAATTTTCAATGAACTGGATAGAGCTCATTACAAAGTATATACCATTTTACAAACTGGTAGAAAATTCAAATATATTAAGTGAAAAGCGAATAGTGTAACTATGTATGATGATCACATAGTTACATATCATTCAATAGATCGCCCAAGAATGGAATTGGGCTTCTTTTGTATCTATCAGTTTTGCATCTGATTGCAGGATAAGGAGCAACCTTTCTCAGAGATTATGAATATCTATTCTGGCGTGGGCGTGGCAACCAGTCCCTGAACTGAGGTGAATCTATCAGTGATGTAGCAAATCTGTTGCAAAGTTCTCGCCTTCTAGTGTCTAGAGTTTGGAGATTGGTAATTTGTAGCGCATTTTCGTTGGTCAAGTACAATGATCCCAGTACAATTTTGAGTGCACGTTTCTGGATCCTTTCAATCTGGGCATTTTGTTGGTTTGTTATTAAAGCCTGGATGCCACACTGAAGCAGCATATTCAACAAGAGGCCTAACATAGCCTGTGTTAACGCATATTAAGTCTTTCCATGATAATTGGAATGGTTTCAGGGTTCTTAGCATGTACAGTAAAAGCGCCTATTTGCGTTACGCACCATGTTATCGACATGGCTGTTCTATTTCAGATCTGACTGAAGTAGTATCCCCAGGGTTTTGATTGATTGAAGCTCATCAAGGGTTTGGTCGCCAAGACTTACATTAATCGGAGGGAGTTGAGTTTTTCCGAAGTTTACTCTCATTACATGACATTTGCTGGCATTAAGCTGCATGGCGTTGTTTTTTGCACCAGGTGTTGAGTTCAGATAGGGTATTGTGGGTTTCTGCAGTCGCATCCCGTGGTCTCGCTTCCTCTAGTGTCGTATCATCAACATATTTTCAATGCTCCAATTTTGAGGATGACAATGCGTCGTTGATGAAGACTAGGAACAGGATCGGGCCTAAGCGTGTGTGTGTGTGTCTCTCTCTCTCTCTCTCTCTCTCTCTCTCCCTTTTCTCTCTCTCTCTCTCTCTCTCTCTCTCTCTCTCTCTCTCTTTCTCTCGCAGGTGTTCTGCCCAAAAGGCTTGTCCACACACCAGAGCCCTCTTTAGCTCTTTCTCAATCCCTCCCTATCACACGTTTAGTCATTATGATCTCAAGTTCTCAAGTTATTTTACTCTATTCAGTACATCTTCATTGGTGATCCTGTCCCTCCGCCTAATTTCTTCCATTCCTCTCAACATCCTCATGTTCAAACTGTCAATCAATTGTGTGCTGCCCTCTATATACCCAAGCTTGATCAACTTTAATGTGCGTCAATGTCGAGGCTAAAATGGGTGAATTGGCCCTTTAAACTTTCATTTTGTTGTATATAAAGCCCACGCCTAAGAACAGTAAGTGCAGTCAGGTGGTATGGGGCAAATTATTATAGAGGCGGATTTCGCCAATGAAAAAAAAAGTTGTTTAGGGTTGTAAAAGAAGAGGAAGAGACCTGTTAAATGTCTTGTTTCTTTGGTAGCATTGTATGGCTCTGTAACTTTGGCAATGAGGAGAGCAAAGGAAAGGTTGATTGACGTCTTGAACATGTGGCAGTAGAGAGGAATGGAAGATTTATTAGGAGGAGGCGCGATAGCTCAGTCGGTAGAGCAGTGGTCTCGTAATCCGGCAACCCGGGTTCGAAACCAAATCGGTGCGCTAGTGCCCTTTGGTAAGGCATTAATCCTCATCACCATGTCCCTCGGAGAGGACCTAAAGCCGTGGGTCCTCTTGTTGCTTGCTAACATGCATTTATGCTTTCTAAGCAGTCAGGTACAGTAACCACCACTACCACTACTACTACTACGCGCGGTACTCCGAAACCGCTCCGATGTACACACTGAGTTTCCTTCGGGAGATTATGGCGGTGCCCTCTATATACCCAAGCATGAACATCTTTAAGCTTAAGCTTAATGCCAAGGCGATTAATATTCCGAAGAAATATTCTAAGAAAATTAAATCAAGGCAAGTGGATCATAAGCAAAGCCTAGGAAACCTTAGTCCACAAATTGAGTGGACAATGTTTCATTTCTCCGGCTTTGTGCTATGTTAAAACATTGCATGCAACCTTGCAAAGAGCTTTAACTTAATCGCAAACGTTCAGTCGTTTTTTCCCAACTTATGTGTTCTAATAAATCCTCTTGAATCTAGAATTTATGCTTTGTATTTCTAGATTTGGGGAAAGTGTATAAATATGAGGTCCGTGACCACTACTGATCATTCAAGTCTAGGTGACAAACAGATAAGGAACCTGAGCAGAAGTAAGAAGCTGTATCGAACCTCAATCAAAGTAATCTTCAAAATGGCAACAACGGTAAGTGGAAAAAACTGAGTTTTAACAATTCTATTAATCTAAAAACCATGAACGATCAACATTTTTCGATTGAAACCTTATCTAATATGTGTTTATTTCTTTGATTTATATTGATACCTTCAATACGGTTTTTGTTTTGCTTTTTATTTTATTTTGATAAACAATCAAATTGTATAATTTAATTTGATCTGCATTTTTTATTTTTAAGTGAGTACATTCTTGATTGGAAAAATGTAAGTCGGTAGCTGTCACATAGATGAGAGAAGGGGCATTCTTTCTAGGCAATCCATGGATAAAATTAACGTAATGTATAATATATATATATGAATAATCATTGTTATATTATTCATTTTTTTAGATGAAGCTGTTAATCACACTGTGCGTGGTCGCTGTATCATGTCTTACTGTCTCAGAAGCTTTCCGTAAGTCCTATACATTTATAGCCAAGTTATTTCATATGATCAAGCAGACAGTTGTATGAGTGCGTAGATATGTAGTCATTTTCTGTATACATCAATCAAGACTGTCGATTACTATTTGCTATGCTTTATTATAGCTCATCAACATAAAATGTATGCCTTCTATTTTTTGTTGTTACAACGCTCTGATCAGTTCGCTGTAAAAGCGCATGTTAAGAAAGAGTTATCGTTATTGTTGTTTTAAATATCATCTTCATTATTATTATTGTTATTATTATTATCATGATTATTATTTTTATCATTATTACTGTAAGTATATATCATAATTTATAACATGTTATTGTCCGTGACCACTTCTGATCACAAATATGTTTAAATTACTATTGTTATAAGTATTATTTTTGTAGTTGATAATAATATCATAAACATCTTTATCTATCTATTCATCAGTAATGAGCGTCAACGAGCACCTGATCAAATCCTGCTCCGGTTTCGCCGAGAAGAAGCGCGGCGAGGGCTACCGTTGCAACTCCGAGGTCATCGACCACGTCCACGACTACGCCGAGCAGTTCGACATTGCCGGCTACGACGGTGACCTGGTCGAAAACTACCTCGACATGGCCAATGGTGGCGGTATGTGCTACTTGGAAGGTGCAGCTCTCCGCGTCGTGAAGGGGGAATGCGCAGCCATGGAACTTGCCTGCAATGACGTTGAACCCAAGGTCATCGATTTCTGTTCCAGTGAGTGATATTACCATCTTTATTTTCATATTTTGATAAATTTTGTGTGGTTGCTATTTTACCTGACTGCTCAGAAAGCATAAATGCATGTTAGCAAGCAACCAGGGATCGAATGCTTAAGGTCTTCTCCGAGGGACCTGGTGATGAGGATTAATGCCTTACCAAAGGACACTAGCGCAACGACTGGGTTTCGAACCCGGGTCGCCGGAAAACGAGACATAATGCTAACAAATTATTTGAGTAATTTTGAGGAGGCTCGACGTTCCGAACAGGTTGACCGGTCGTCTGCTAATGACGGTTTTATCATTATAACGAACAGCCAACCTGTTTAGAACGTCAAGCTTCGATCTCTCTTCGCATTCATGATTGTGTTCACCGGTCATTTTTGGGGACTCGTCTCACAAAGGATACATCTCTTAAATTCTCTGCCTCTATCCATACACTACTATATGCAAGTGCGGCTAATTCGTACGTCACAAACGGCATTTAAGATTTAAGTATAATGATTATATTAATTTAGTAGGCCTACTAGAACTTATATCAGACCAAATATTAAATGAAAAGACACGTTTGATGTCAATTCATGTTCAGAACTTTACACACCTGTCTGACGTTCGGGAGACTAAATTAGCAAATATCTTGGACTTGCCCGTTTCCTCATAGGCCTAAATGATTTTGTAATGTTTTCTTCTCCCTTCTTACATTAAACAGAGCTCAAGAAGGCCCAAGCAGCCGCCACCACCGCTACCCCAACCACCACCGATACCCCCACCGAGGCCCCAGAGAAGCCAGAGGTCGAGGTCCCCACCGTCGGCGGACGCGCTCACGCCTTCCAGTAAATTAATGGTTTCGACGACGAAGTCATTCACGCCTTCGTCGAGTCGTACTGTATCCAATCACCATGGCGACGATAGAAAGAGATTAATAACGTTATCATGCAAGGAAGCTGCACTTTTAATAGTTGGGGTCCAATTTTATTTCAATCATTTCGTTCGCAGCATTTTCCTCTAAATGATATAGATCTTTGATTTTGAATTTTCTAAGCAGTTTAAAATCAGATAACAAGATTTTACTCCTTCCCCTTGATACTTTCGTCTGCAATATGCAGTTGGTTGTTAAAAAAGATTTTTGTTTGTATATTTTGTTTTGTTCTTCACTGTAATTGGCATTAAAATGATGATAATATCACTATGAAAACAGATGATTCAAATTGATGTATGATTTAATATAGTTGTCGGGTAATTCATTATAGTTTGAATATAGCTGCACCGGTTTCCGTTATGAAAATGAAACAGAGAGGGTTGGGGAGAGAGAGAGGGGGGATAACGTGAGAGAGAGGGATAAAGAAAGAGCACGAGAGAGAGAGGGAGACAGACAGAGAGAGAGAGAGAGAGAGAGAGCGTGGAAAGAGAGAGAGAGAGAGAGCGAGAGGGGGACGGGGGAAAGGGGAACAGGAGAGGAGACGTTCAAACAAGAAAAAGATGGGCAAAATGATTCGTGTAACAATGGGATATAGGAAATTAAGGAGAAAGGTGAGTGAAAATCATAAGATTGTATTAGGAACATATAAATGAGACAAGAATAAAATCAAGCAAGAGTGAATAACTAATAAATTAGATTAAAAACCGATTATGAAAACACAAACTTAAAACAAAAGGATTCAGAGGAGACTATGGAAACATTGGTCTGTATCCTCTATCGTTCTCACCCTCGTTCTCCCCTCCCTCCCCCCCCCCCCCTCTCTCTCTCTCTCTCTCTATCTATCTCCCTCTCTCTCTTTCTCCCTCTCTCTCTTAGTGACAAACAAACTAAGTTATTGTTAATCGCAATTTGTTCCATCTGAAAATATTTCCGTGTGGTTTGATCACTGAGTACGGCACAGACATTTTAAAAGTCTAAGACGAGTCATTTTAAAAAGCATAATACTTTTCTTGAAATAAAATGACATCATATATTTTCTCCGATTATCTTTAAGTGTTAGTAAAGAAATAATGACAGAAATGTTATGGAGAGAAAACTTATACCTATACAAAATGATTTTGCTTGGTATATAGTCGAATGAAATTTGTTTGCGATATTTCAGACTGGATGTATGTACAATATTAATATACTAAGCGCAGTAAAAAAAAATTATTAAAACAAGATGTAAGCGCCGTTGACGTTGAGCCAAATTCTAGAAAAAAGTTTTGACACATTGTAAACCTCATAAGTTTACGTCAATCTATTCAATCATCACCGTCAGTCTGGCAAAAGGCCTGAAAGAGGAGGTTGATTTTCTCTAGAAGTTGACAAATAATATGTAACCTTTTAAGATTATTTTTATGTTAGTGTGGAAGAGAATTATAGAAAAGGGGCCCCTGACAAAGGATGGCTCGTTTCCACACAGATCCCTTCAAAAGCGATCACTTGATTTTTAAGCCCGTACGAATTGAGGGGGCTGCAGCGACGTGGGCACTGGAGGACGTGGGATTTTTAGGCGTTTACGGTTTAATGCAAGGTTTTTAAGTCGATCAATGAATGAATTCTTGACAATGAACTATTTTTTACCCCCGTTGTTTGTGAATAAAATATTATTTTCATATGTTAGCAAATGGTTTCAACGAAAGAAGAACGAAACAGGTGCACAATATCCCATTTAAAAGTTAATAGTAGAATAATGTGCAATGGCATAGCATGGGTTCGCTATAGAAGGGGTTCCGGTATCGGGGGTGGGGGGCACTAGGTGAATAAAATACGAAAAAAACAAGAGTTTTGTATTATCATATAGATGAATATCTGATAGAGAACGGAACAAAGTCAAGGAAGATGAGGGTAGGGAGGAAGAGGCTTGTTGGCAACAATTCAAACGAGAAAACTTAAAATAAGAACAAGTTTAATAGACTTAGTGGAAAGAGATAGAGAAAGGATGAAAAGAATGATTGCGAAGACACGAGCACAGAGAGAGAGAGAGAGAGAGAGAGAGAGAGAGAGAGAGAGAGAGAGAGAGAGGAGAGAGAGAGAGAGAGAGAGAGAGAAAGAAAGAGAGGGGAATGTATTGTACTACACACAGAGAGCGAGAGATAGAGAGAGAGAGGGGGTAGAGAGAGGGAGGGGAAGGGAGGGAGATAGACAGACAGACAGACAGAGAAAGAGAGACACAGAGTGAGGAAGAGAGAGAGACACACACACACACACATAGAGAGGGAGAGAGAGAAAAAAACGGAGGTATTCAAAATGAGATTACAATATGAAAGGCGTAATATGCCTTTACAATTATGATATGGGGGCCTCTGTAATGACGTACTTGTATGGCTTTAGTTTTTAGTTAAAGTTTTTATTTGTAGTGATAATCTTTAAAGAAAATCCATTGAACATTGTTGAATATATTGACCCGTCAGGCTACTTTAAGGAACAATTGTGCTTGTCAAATATTTGTGAATCGCTCAAGAAATATTTGGCCTTGGAATGATCCGCACTGCATCTAAATGAAACAATACATGTTGGCATTGGTTTAGGCATTTTTCATTCTTAATAATCCATCATTCAAATTTTGTTTCATTGTTTGCTATTTCAACATATATTATGTTAAGAGTTTATTCAAATGATTTAATGTCGGGGAAGACTATAAATATGGGATTTCTAACCACAGTTGACAGTAAGCATCCAGAAGCGAACAAGCTGTATTTGAAATTCATCTGTATGTTAATACAAAACTCTGGTAAAATATTCGTCATGGCCAAATCGGTATGTATTACTCAATTATTTCATTATTCAACCTATACCTTTGTTTAGGTAATAATGTTCACTCTCTTAGTTTGATTATGTTCTCAATTCGTTATGTTCACCATATGTTGCATTATTGATGTCGTGTTTGATTTTCTTGTTATTGCATTGCAATTTTCTTGTTATTGCGTCGACTGGGACTAATATTTACCTCTTCTTATGTTTATATTTTTTTATACCAAGAATACAATACATTGTAACATTTACATTACCGGTCTTGTGTACAAATATATATTAATAAAAACATTTTTGAATGAAGAAATAGATGATCAAAATACAAATTGATGGCTACTTAAATATCTCTGTTTTTAGACAGAGAAGACTGTTTTCTACTTGAATACATACATGTATTTTAAAGCTAATCTTGAATTAGTTTGGCACTAACGTATTTACCTTTAAGTCCGAGTTTCAATTAAAAGTCTGTTTTTGACTGCAAAAAATATGCATGCCAAATATTTTTCGAAAATCTTATCAAACATATTTATAACAAATTGTACAGAAATAACAGCCGTCATTATATGCTTATTGAAGATAAATGAACATGTAGATATCGATACATTTCTGATGAGAAGGGTGTATTCTTCTTTTAATGTTACGAGATATGTATGAAACAATTCCTATTTCTATATCTCCCTGTTAGTTGAACCTCACCATCGCATTATGCCTGTTTGCTGTCACCTACGTCAGTATGGTCAGTGTTTCAGAAGCTGCTCCTCGTAAGTTGAAGGGGGAAAAATAGATAACAATGAGTAATTATGCAGTATGGTTAATATCGTGATTAATTCACACGACATTCCCCCGCCCTCGCCAAAATAATTTAGTTGTGAATATCATTATTAATACTACCGCCTCATGTTGTTTATTTCTATGTATAAGACATATTTAGTTTCGTCGAATGAGGAGGCTTATTTGTCAGATATTAATCAATATCACAACAATTAAGAAGAGATTAAATATGTATTTATTCCAATTTTTCCTATTTCGACCCCTGTCATCGAAGAAAAATAATACAAAAGAGTAAATAAACAGAAAAAACGGTGGTAGACCTATTCTTTTACAATGATGATTAATTACTATTACTATTATTATTATTATTACAAGAAGTTTAGATACAAGTATTGAAAGGGAGTGCTGATGAGGCTTCATAGGGGGATTCTTGTTATTATCATCATTATTTCATTCTGTTTTTTGTTGTTGCAGTAATGAGCATTAACGACCACCTCCTCAAGAATTGCCTGAGCTATTTTGCCGAGATGCGCGAAGAAGGGACCACCGTGTGCGACTCGGAGATCATTGACCAGGTCCACGACCACGCGGAAGAGCTCAACTTTCCCGGATACGACGGCGACCTGGTGGAGGACTTTCTCGATTTGGCCAATGATGGCGGGCTCTGCTACCTCGAAGGTTCAACGATTAATGTAGTGAAGGGTGACTGCGCTGCCATGGGGCTCGTCTGCCAAGCCTTCGAACCCAAAGTCGTCGACCGTTGCGGACGTGAGTACTTGCATACTTTAATATGATTTTTCCCCTTTGTTTTGTCTTTGGGCTGTTGAAATGCACCGGAATATATATATATATAGAGAGAGAGAGAGAGAGAGAGAGAGAGATAGAGAGAAAGAGAGAGAAAGAGAGAGTGAGAGAGAGAGAGAGAGAGAGGGGGGGAGAGAGAGAGAGAGAGAGAGAGGGGGTTAGGGAGTGACGCATACAAACCAAGACTCGTGTGCACACAAGTTCAAAATTAAAAGGCGAGTGGAGAGAGAAAGAGGGGGGTGGGGAAAGAAAGATTTAGAAAAGGGTTTGAATAGATAATGAGAAAATGAAAGAGAGAAAGCGGGGAGAGAGGTTAAGCAGACATAGAGAATGGGAAAGAGAAAGGGTAAGATGAGGGACTGAGGGACCGAGAGAAGAAAACAAATAATAACTGCATAAATATTTATGAAATCCCGCTGTCCATCTAGAATACTGCAAAAGTACCAATTGAACATAACAATTTTGTTTTAAAACTAAAAATATATTCTCATCCATTCCCAATTTTGCTTGCAGCGCTAAGGAAGCAGGCTAGCGCAATCACCCCCTCACCGGTCACAGAGGCCCCAATGACCCAGCCAGCTACAGTAAACATCTAGACTGACACGCCCTCGTCCCTTAGATCCAACCAATGGGAGACGGTGTTCAACCTGTCACTCATCATAATAATCACCATGGAGACGGAAATCTTCGTAATCCAGAGCTTATCTACGTTAATCGCCTGTAACACAAACCGGCATTTCCAAGTTTAACGCAACGGTGTCGCATATATTTTCAGGAACCGGCCAAAACTTTACGTGTTTTATTTCATATTTGATAATTTGGAAGTTCAGTTAAGTATATTTTTGATGAATATTAGTATGTTTGTATATTTTGGAGTTAGTTATTATTTTTTTTCATACTGTGTAAAAATGAGAGATGCTTTAAATGTTATGTTTCGTCTTTGTTTGATTAATTTTGGTATGTTTGTATATTTTGTTAAATTTGCTTTAATTTCTTTTTACTTTTTACTGCATATTGAGGCATTATTAGTTTCGTCTTTGTTTTATTTGTATTTATTTATTTTTGAATACATCTATTTTTACTGCATCAGAACTCCTTTAACATTTATAAAAAATGAATACGCAGAAATTTACACCAAAATTGCATAAAATCATATGTTACGTGTTCACAACCAAGTGTTCAGAGTGAGATCATACTTTGTAAAATGAACAGTCGATTGAATAAATTCATAACCTAAATTATAACGAAAATGTTACATTAATTTTGTAGAAGGAAAGATGAATGTATATGGGGGGAGAGGATGGGAGAGGGAAGAAAGTGCGGGTTAAAGAGTAAAGAAAGAGGGGAAGAGAGGGGAAGATAGCGGGAAAGAGAGGGGAAAGAAAGAGAGAGAGAGAGAGAGAGAGAGAGAGAGAGAGAGAGGAGAGAAAGATAGAGTGGGGAAAAGGAAGAGAGAGGGCGAGAAAGGGACAGGGAGAAATAGAGAGAGAGAGAGAGGGGGAGAGAGGGGGAAGAGGAGGGAGATAGGATAACACAAAGAGTGATAAGTGTAAAGTCGAAGAGAGAATGAGAGTGGATGGAGATAAGAATAAATGAGAAGGGACGTAAACAAAAGACCGAAGGGCAGAGAGAACGAGGTTGAAGAAGAAAGAGTCGAGAAGGAAAAATAGAGAGAGTGAGTGACGTATGATCTTTTCGTTTTTCTTTCTTAATTGGTTTGGGCAATTATACTAGTGCTTTGAAATTGAAAACATGTGTGAAACAATGGTAAGCAATCAGTCAGTTATTTTTAGTGGAAACTATTTAAAGCCCACTTTAATGTTCTAAAATGTTCACGCCTTTCAAAGAGCACTGTCCTTTATTATCATAATCACATTAAGTTTTCCGATGGAGTACCGTCATTTAATTATTTTATAATTTGGTATTTAATCACGATAACAACTAATATGGAAATATGTCAGATGCATATAATTAAAGGTCGATGAAATGGTAAATTGGATATAGTGATGTGCCCCAGACTTTAAGGAAGGAAAAATCCCGCCATAAATGCTTCTACCATTCTCCACCTGAATCAATGTTTGAGGGCATGATTATGTGACTTTTGAAAGAAAATTATGCTATGGTTTCCAAAGATTCTGCCCCCCCCCCCCCCCCAACCCACCTCTCTCTTTCTCTAGAAAATATATGTCGGTGTCAAGTTTGAATAAACAACACAACTTGTTAACTAAAACATTTAAATCAGTAAAGGAAAGCCAGCCTAATCTTATTTGATATCAGAAACGTTGCTTTTGATTCCGAACGCTAATTCTTTCTGATATAGAAAATAAATGATATCAAATCCTTTCGGCACGAAACGCAAGGTAGGCCCTGTCTCGAATGTTAATCCTTTCGTCTCAAATGATTGGGAAGGGCAATGGTTATCCAGCTTAACACGGCCTGTACATGATACTTTGTTCAGGGTTTAGGTTACATGACGATTGCAGGGATGTATTGTTTTCAATCATATGACGTTAGTTTCAAATATATTTTCTCATGTTTGAACGTTTGTCAGAGGATACAATATCATACCGTAGACCGATGCGTCAGAAACTTGTCTAGAGGTTCAATGACAGACGCGTCCCGGCGATTGATGTTCCGCGGTCAATTGTGAAATTCGTATAACTTCAACCTTGGACCAAAAACTATACTTACCTTAACCACAACCCTAAACCTATGAAATAAAACACAATTGCAACCCTTATCCTTACCCTGCGTGTTTTACGAAAGAAAACAAGAAGACAAATTTCGAGACTTAGGCCTATGTCGGAAAACCAGTTTAAAATTAGGTATAACAAGAGGTTGCTATATGACGTCGCAAAAAACTACTTTATTCATACTAAGGTTAAAGGTAAAGACCAGTTATGGTCAAGCGATTGCATTGTGAAAGAAACGTTGTGGAATCGATCAGAAAAGGTTGATCATCTAGCATCTAGCATCTGCAAGGTTCTGGAATCATCAAAATGATAAGAAATTTGGCCCATTCTTCGTAAAGTTACAAGCACTATACACAGAAAGATGTGTATGGGACTACCCTATATCTCTCACAAACAATGAGAGAAACAAATTTACCAAATATATGAATTAGTAGGCGGTTTCCCGGCAAATTTGTTATCATCATGAATTAGTCAAAACATTTTCTTTCACATGATTGGTAATGAGAGCTTCCATTTCATTTTTTGAAATTGGGGCGTTTCCAATACCGGTCTTTACCTTTAAGGTTACCTGACGCAGACCCCGAGATTTACATGTATATTTACACGAGAGTTACATGTATATCATGGCTGAAGTCATTACTTTATGACACACTGTCTTGTTTGCTGGCGATCATAATTTGATTTTGGAAGAATTTGCAATATTATTTGATATCAAAATTCATACCTATAAAATCTTAATGATCGTTGATTTTAATAGACATTATGATTGATAAAATTATAATTTCAAAGGATTTCAAACTTTCTTAGAGAAGGAATAGCTAAATTGCTTCAGAATCGTACTGACGTCATACCAGTAATACGTTGTCTATGATATGAAACCGATTCGTTTTTTATTCTGACTAACGTTTTAAGCGCTCTTTTCAATATTTATAACGTACATCACGAAGATAATGCTTGTCTAGATATATATATTGTATCTAATGTAATTGCCATTTCTTTGAAATTCGGATCGCCGAAAGGTCGTTTAGTCTGCGGTTGGCTTAAAACCTTAAAATATTTAATTACACATTCAACGTTCATACTCATTCTTTAATTCCATAAAGGATATAAGTCGACTGTCATTGATCGAATTAAAAGAAATGCTATATCTTAAACGATTGTTATGATCTTTATCTCAAACGTCATCGACTCCACCGCGTTAACACAGTGAGCTTTACCCAAATAAAGAACTCAATACGGGAAGAGGTGTAAGTGAGCTGACGATTTGGTTGATATTGCATATTCGTATGCTCGTATTTCACCATCGGTGTAATGTATAGAATAGTTTGCCTTATTAGAATTGTCCTTTTTTTCAATTCTGTTCTAACAGCCAGCCAAGAGTTATTTCATTAGGAACAATAAACAAACACATGCTCAGAAATTAATCGCACAGATACTCATCTTCGACTCGGTTTGTTAGATTTAAGATGATAAGATGAGATATAATTTCAAAATGGGATAAGAAAATTGGAAACAGATGATGCCATGATTAAATTGAGAAACGTTTTATATGAAAAACGATCCCCAAAATGAATTTGATATGCGATCTGCATGACGACGTTTGTATTCATCAAAACCGTCTGAGAAGCAAGATGTAATCATATTAAAGTGTCACTTCAAACACAGGGATTCTGTTTCATTGTCTACCCTCTAGAAACCATGATAAAAAAATGAAACATTGATAGAAACTCTTAGATTTACAGCAACATTTTTTTAAAGTCCAAAATGTGTATGAAGTAGCGCTATTGACACGTTAAGGTAATCTTGATAAGATATTCATAAAAGTATGAAGGACAATGGATATTTTTTTTCAAATTTAAAATGAATATGCAAAGAGGATCACGAAAATGCTGGCAATCACGATAAATATTTAAAGTCAGCATTTCCTAGAAGTATAATATTGGTCATACTGTTATGATTTGTACATGCCCAGACATTATCATCCAGTGGTCAGATCCATGAGCCTGGTGGATTGAGGGGGGGGGGGCAAATGAATGATCAAAACAAAATCAAACAAAACGCAATTCGGGCATATTTACTGGAAAGAAATCCTCGTCATATTAATAATAATTATTATGATAAACGGTGCTTATAAAGCACTTTCCACCGAAGTCTACAAAAAACAATGACAAACATTAACATATTAAACAAAAAATAACAAATAAATAAACCCGTAAATTACAATACATTTTAAATAAACATCAATGCGTACGAATTGACTTACACTCAACGATAGAAATGCTGCTGAATCAATCAGAGTGACTTCGTTAAACATGAGCGAGTGAAATTATTCCCAGACGCAGTCAAAAATGCAGACAGACAAAAAAAAAAAAAAAAAAAAAAAAGATGACAGACCCCTTCCACATCCTTCTCTTACCCTATGCCCTTGTTCTCTCCGCGCACGCCATTCACCTACTATTTCTAATGTCACAAAACAAATGACGTCACTGCCCCCTCAATTATAATTTATGAATTATGAATTCTATCTGACTAGCAACGGTTGTCGTAGACCAATTATAAATTACTTTGATCTTTTGTATCTTCCTGCAATCGGAGAGGTATACATTAGCTTCACCATATCCTGGATACGCCAAATATTTGTTTCTTCTTTTTTTAATGCTATTTGATTTTCAATTACGTTGCTTTTTCCATTCCATATGATATGCCATTAATATTCCCTTTGTCCCACAGTTCGAAGAAAGAGAAACTGTGCACTGTATTTGGAATTCTAAATAAAATATCCTAATATTAGGCCTGTTTTTTCTTTCTATTCATCAAAACGAAGTGGTATAATTCAGAAACGCATTAGCATACGAAAGGAGTGTGGAGGGGGGGGGGAGTGGGGGGGGGGGGGGGGAGTGGGGGGGGAGGGGGGGGGTCATAACATTTAAAAGCTGGCTACAATGCGTCAACGGTTCAATGTTGCATCGATAATGTCATAACTGGCTTTCTATCGGAAGGGGAAATGGATTAAGATTTTTTTTTTTTTTAATATGCAATTAGAATAATATGATTTGAAAAATAAAAACAAAATCAGGCCAACATGAACGTATGTATTTCTTTCTCAAATAGGAGAGTGTATATCTGTATTTCTAGACATTTTGAATGTAATGACAGTAATGATTTAACAAAAAGTATACCATGGCTGATTTACAATAAATGATGAGATATTTTCTTCAGGTACACTCTTTCTGGGTTTTATTTCATCACATGTATAGTGTTAGGGTTAGGTTTGGGTAGAGGTTTTAGGTGAAGTTTAGAGTTAAAGTGACTCGGTAATTGCCTCAGATTGTGAAACAAAATCCTGGATTTAGCTTATGCTGCAATCATAATTATAAATCTCTAGGACAGTCAGTGAATCCCATGAATTTTACAAGCCGATCGCCCCTCTGATTATCAAGATATAAATGATTGGAAATCGAAATCAAATGTTGCGTTTTCCTAACGGTTTTTCGAACACTACAGTCTATTGGGAAAAACGAGTATGGTAAAACCGGTCAATCAAAGATTTTTACTTTTTTGAGGCACTTCATGATCATTTTGAAGCGCAATTTTTTTAGGGCTTCAATATTACACCATATCAAAGACACTAATAACACGTAGGGCCATGCATCTCATATTTAACATTGTTAAACAATGCTTCCAATAGGGTGTTGCGCAGTGCTCATCCAGTTAATTAGTCGTTAGCCTACATTATTGTGCCGCACAACTTTCCAATGAATCATAATTTGACCAAAATGTGGATGAGCTCAGAAATATTTTTGTTGCATTATATGCATGTCCAGAGCGATAAGCAGATACAGTATATCAATTACATATTTCTCAATTACATATTTTTGCAATGGATTATATTTCTCGCCCAGCACACGATATAAATCACGACGCTGGACAGCAGAATCATCATTTGAGCTCGAGTAATAACCGCATCAACATCTACAATATTTCATTCTTTTCTCCCGTATTAGCGGATCTCACACTTCACAATGGGTACAACAGTAAGTGTTAAAGTTTTCGTTTAGTGAGCTGTTTTATAGTTGTACTCATGTGCTGGAAGGATTTTAATGTGACTTCTCATCACTTCGAGCGATCAACAAATTAATAGTTTCCTGTCGCCTAATGCACAACTGGAGTGGCTCATTTTGTTTGACTATCTAAGTTCAACGTCGAATAATGTTCATGCTGATGGTGTCTTTTACATATACGCTGTTGCCGATAAAGTTGGAATTACTTTTCTTCCTTCTTACAGAAAATATGAATGTTTCGATATGATTTACTCTTGATAGATAAAGTTTGTATATTCTCAGAACTGTATTGACTTTTATAAAGAGTCATAGCGATTGACCTTCTCGGAAGGTTCCGAGAGGAAATTCTTTCGATCAAGAAGAAACCATATTGTCGCAGTCATCTGATAAAACCATCCATATCAGGATCTTATGTTAATGAATAAATAAATGTGAAGGTCAATTTTCTAGACAACAATCAACATCATCGTTTGTGGAAATAAATTCGAAAACAAAATTACTTTTGGATCTTCACTCGCTGATTTATTTCTTTCTATCGCCTTAGAATAGATTCATGCAAAAATTATAACATCATCCATTAATATCATTTTGCGTTTATCTTTGTAATTTCAGAAGATGCTGCTCACGGCGCTCTGTCTATCTGTAATGATCTGTGCCTGTGCTTCACGAAGATGGAACGGTAGGTATTTCATCTCAATCCATAGACTGACAATGTTAGAGGTGTCGTGGTATAGTGGTTCTATTCACTTCCTTCTCGATCCAAGGGTTGATGGTTCGAATCCCAACCCGGCACTAACGTCGGTTGGCAAGAGACTAGCCCTCATTTGCCACCCTCAAATCATGCATTGAATAATTACAGGATAGGATGCGAAAGTCATTGTTGTTTGCGCATTGTTAGTGTCTGTAAAATGGTGCCTGACTTGAATGCTCCCCAGGGAGTGGAGAATGTGCATACAGTGTGTGCGGGCAAGTGTGAATCCGATGACCGGGGAAATGATATCTCTAAAGCGCTTAAGAGACATGATCGATGTCATGAGCGCTATATAAACCCAGAATATTATTATCATTCGTTTGGTAAATATTTCTATAATATTGGTCGGGGTATTTGTAGAAAAGAGGAGGAGGAAGAGGGGTCCGATGGTTAGTTGATGTAACAGGTAGTTATCTGATTGGGAGGTGCAAGGAGCGATTGTCGGGAGGGGGAGTGTATTGTCTAGACGATGATTGTGCAGGGTATTCTCCTTCTTCTCCTCCCTCTTCTTCTTCTGTTTTATTATTATTATTGCTATTACTAATATTATTATTGTTATTATTATTAATATGGTATAATCATCATTATATAAAAACTATTATCATTATGAGTGTCATTATCAGTATAATGATTTCTAACATTATGGTTCTTCTCCTTCTTGTTATTGTAATTATTGTTATTATAATTATCATATTAATCGTTATCCTCATTTTTACTGTAAATCATTTTAATATCAATATACAGGACCAAGACCTAAGCCTAGCACCCGCTTTACAGAAGCTTGTGCAATTTTCGACAACGTGAAGATACGCGAAAAAGCCACCAGGTGCAACAAAAATGTTCTGGATAAAGTTGCCGATTTGGACGAGAAGGTCAATATTTTCCCTTACCAATACATGCGACGCCTCTACAGATGGGCCCGAAACGGAATGCTGTGCTACGCCCAGACTGGTCAAGCCATCGAAGTGTCAGGACCCTGTGAGGCAATGGAACTGTCGTGCAGTAGCCGTGACCCAAAACCAGTCGACCACTGCTGGAGTGAGTACAATAAAAAAATAATTTAGAAGATGTAGGGGTTTTAAATTACATATTCACTACTTAAGTGTTTGTCAGTGCTTACGGTTTATGTTAAATATGTTCTTCAAGGCAAGATCGCCCCCCCCCCCAAAAAAAAAAGTAAAGAGAGAAAAATCTTGATTGTAACTGCATCATTGTGAAACAACTTACAGCCATTCTCTGATTATTTTCAATTAAATTCTTTATTCAACCAGTATGCAAACTTGTATAAATCATATATGTATATATATATATATATATATATATATATATAAACTGTCTTGCAAATTAGTTAGAAAAATCTTTATCATCTATTTGTTTTGTTCTGTTTATTAATCTTTGTAGGGGTGACTGGTGCAGCCAAACCACCTGGCCGCCCCCAGGTTCCTCAGAATCCTCAGGCTCCTCCACCGAACCCCCCGGGCCATCTGTAAATCTGTGACGCCTTCTACTCGACAAACGTCTCCCTTTCTTAGAAACACGAGATGTCACATCGATTGTGTAGGCGCCAATAATTCAATGCAATGTATCTATAAAAATAAAAAAATCTCAATTGTGTGCGATGTTGAATTGAAAAGATCATGTTTGTAAATAAATAGTGAAATGTTAAATACAGTTTATCTTTGTGTGAAGTATATGTCTACCGAAAAAACGTATCTTAAACGTGTCTTATTAGGTGATGAGAAATATAACGGAGAAATTAGTAAGAAGAAGAGAGCAGGGAGATGTGAGTGAGTGATGTGAAGAGTGAGTAAGAGGGAGAGAGAGAGGGAGAGAGAGAGAAAGAGAGAGAGAGCGAGCGAGAGAGAGAGAGAGAGAGACAGAGAGACAGAGAGGGGGAAGAGACAAAGTGTGTGTGTGCGAGAGAGAAGAGATGAAAATGAACAGAGAAGGGAAAAGAGCAAAATAATAAACATATTGGGAGTGATATAGAGAGGAATAGGTTGAGATGGGGGAGAAACAACAACACATAATCAAGACAGAGGGAGAGAAAGAGAGATATATATAAAAGTGATATCGTTTGTCTTTGTTCCTCTGCATATTTTCAAGTTATTTATGATTATGTGTGTTATCGGTAAAGGATGAGAAAGCTTAGTTTAAAATAGGGAGAGAGGAGTGTGTAGAAAACGGGAGAGTGAAATTAAGGAATAATGTGAACAGGAAGGGAGGATATTAAAGTATTATACATTTGAAAACTTGAGAGTGGGGAAAAATGGAGTGAATGGGGTAGGGGCAGGAAAGGAACCATTTCATCATTAAAGAGAGAGAAAGAGAGAGAGATAGAGGGGGAGAGAGAGAGAGAGAGAGAGAGAATTTTAAAACAATATTTAAAGAGTGAAATAGATATTCAAGAGTGTCTGAGAAAGAGATAGAGGGAAGGATATGAATGTTTGAAGACAAAAAGAGGTATACGGCGGACGGCGGACGGCGGTTTCACATTAGGGTGTATTACGCCTCAATGCTTTATTTTACTTTTTTTTTAAAACAATACTGGTTATTCGTCAAGTGTTGATGAGTATGATAATGGTCCGAACGCAAAAACAGACAACACCAGCACTACTTTAATGATTTACGTTTAAACTCAGTCGCTCTCTCTTTTATCAATTTCAAATTTATTTTCTATTCATTCCTCGATAAGGAGAAACGTGCATAAACGCAATATTCGGACAGGGGATAGGAGGACGGAGGGGGGGGGGGTGGGCTCTATTAAAAGTGAAAGGGTTATCACGCTAATGGTTTTCAAAATCGTTGTCGTAGTCTATTGGATGCGTCATTGATCTCTAGATCACAAGGTTCGAGGTTCGAGACCTGTTGCAGTATTATTTACGCCCTTAGGCAACACACAATTTACATTTGCCACTATCCACCCTGGGAGTGTTTCATAAAGAGTTCGTAAAGTTACGCATGACTTTACGAACGACTTGTATATGAAGTGCCAGATAGAATGCCCAAAGTTTTTTCTGATATTTCCAATAACCTCAATTAAATTATGGCAAAAAATATACTTTGCATTAAAAATGTTTATAATAAGAAGAATGTTAATCTACATCTGCACAGTTCAACTTAATAAATAATAATCAATAAAGATTGAGCATCCCATTTGGCTTTTCATATACAAGTCGTTCGTAAAGCCATGCGTAACTTTACGAACAGCTTTATGAAACACCCCTCTGGGGTAACAAATGGGTAGCATGTAGGAATTTATTGTTATTAGCGCATTATATTTAAACAAAAGCATCTGGAAATGGTTTTACTTTGTAGATGTCTTGAGAAAGCCCTTATATAAATGTAGCTTCGATGTTATTGTTATTATTAATATTACAATTATTATTATCATTATTGTTAATATCGTTAATGTTATTACTATGATCATTATTATTATTATCATTATTCAAAGATTCATCGAGGATGTCATAAGTACCCTATTAAGTTCTTATCGAGAAAAAACTGTGAATGAAATAGATAGATGGATAGTTTATTGGTTTCCACAATATCTCATTTTACAGAGAGTGTAAAAACATATTGAAAATGATTATTTTATACATGTACATACAATACCGGTATACACTATTTAGAATATTGTCCATTAAGTTTAACTTAAGAGATAAAGTGGCAGAGCCTATGGAAAAGCAGAGCTTGTTGTGGAAAGGCTCCTTAAACTAAAAATGACATAATCAACTAAAGTAAAGTTGATAAAATACAAATACACGCTAAAACAGGGAAAGGGAGTTTACAGGGATACATGAACTGATACTCACAATTAACTACAAAAGACAAGAAAAAGGGAAGGGAATATATCTGCAGCTTATTGAAACAATATTACAATATAGTTTGTTCTCGATATGAGTATATTATAAACATAGTTGGTATGGTCATACCGTTAGTTACTCATTGTAATTAACAAAAGTATACAGTTTGGAGACAAGAATAGTCAGGAATCAGGAATAACAATATGTATTCAAATAATAACTTTTCAATTTTCTTCTGAATACATGTACACTTACAGACCTTTTAATCACAGAATCGAGAGAATTCCAGAAGAAGAAGAAGTGTTGATTTCTGGAGAATTCGACCTGTCACTAACCTTTTCGTTTTTTTCTCATTTAGATTATTTCTATGTTTTAGGTAGACCTTTTCCAAAGCAACAAGATCTGCAATTTCCTGGCATGAGTAATCTTTGATGGCCTTCAAAATAATGATCACATTAATGTGAGCAAAGTTGGCTAAATGTATCGTTGGGACTCTGCATCCAGGGTTCTAGGTGGAGAAAGTTTCTCAATTACAGGTACATGGCTTATGTTACGCGCTTGGTGCATTGTATAAGAGCCTCCATTCGGACGGGGATCGTCACTCGACTGCTGGTAGCAACTGTTTCGACTTCCAACGTTTCAGAAAATCTCCTTTCTTAAATTGTCAGCTAAAACGAAGCGACAGGATGGCTGTAACCGTAAGTTTTATAATTTCGTAGTATTCTTTTCTTTCAGGAAGCTGGATATGAGCTGGAAAGATATTTTTGTATTCCCCTTTTTTGGCAAGAAATTGATTATTCCTGTTAGTCGAGTTTGAATCTTTATTCTTTAACTACCTGGAATCATAAGTGACAAAAGATAAGTTCATGTTAACTGTTATATTGTGGCAACATGGCACAAATATTAAGAGTGGTCAATTTGTTAAAGTTAAACAAAAAAACGTTTCGAAATTAACTTCAGGTATATCTGAAGAGCGGCTTAAAATTATTTGTCTAATTATTTTGTGTAATGGGATAATTCACCTCACGCAAACTCTTACGATTGTTTCTAATGGTGGGTGTCCATGAACTTCCTGAATTTTGTGTTAACACGGACAGCTGGCATTTAACAATACGATACTGCCCTGTTTTATCAGAAGAACTATCGTATGCTTAAATTACATCTTCAAACATACTGAATTTTAAAGTAATCAAGTAGGGAAAAAAAAGACGAAAGCAAAAATTCAGTGAAACAATTATATATTTTTTAAGAAAAAGCATGACCCAAAACTATCGCCATTTTTTACTCTGCGTTCATGTAAGTTATTAGCGCTTTGTTCAACAGTTTATTAAACTAACCCACACAAATTATTTGTATTTCTCAAGATTAACATCAATGAGAATGAATTTGATTGTAAGCTCTTTGAAGAAATAAACGAGAATGATCCCAGTATTACGATCTTTATTTATGTTATTTCGCTCGGTGTTGTTTTTTCTAGCGCAATAAAATCATTTGAGCAAAATTGAATATTGCTAATGCTTTTAAAACTAAAAAATAACATAAACGGCGACCATGTTTTTGTTGTGTTTTTATATCACCTAGTTACAGAAGATTCTCGTGGCATTCTGTCTGTGTGTTCTGATTTGTGCCTCTGTTTCACATGGATATGGAATGTACGGCAGATACGGCAGATACGGCAGATATGGAGGTAAGTGCTTTCTCTTCATCCGAAATGGACATTGCTTTATAAATATTTTTATTTCGATTTTGATTTGTACGGGGGCAGTTCAGGCAAATATTCTTTAAATTTTAAATACGCCACTCACTGACATGCAAACATAATATATGCAGCCAGCTGTCGAGACGCTATCTCTTGGTAAAGAGAGTACCCCTTGGATCAGGGTGCGATGGCTTAGTATAAGGTTTCGGATTTGAAAATCGACGGCGCACTGGCGCAACAATCTACACTACGGTTGTGTACAGAACATTCGCGTCACAGCTCGTGCGCAGCCGTCATTACCTGGAGGGATCCCTTTCCTAACTGTTTACGGTGGTATGAATTATATTGATTAAAACATTCGCCAGATCGTTGGCGTTATTGGCGGTAATGGAATGACACTTGGTATGCATCGGGTTTAAATCTCCATTGTTTGATGTAATCAATCCCGTTGCATCAAACAATCGATTGGCGCCTTTTTGAGTAGCGGAAGAGCACCTCGTCGTGTAACGGGCTTATTTCAACATGTTAATGGATTAACGAATGGATGAGTGAACGGATGAGTGAACAGTCTATTTTTAATTTACAGGACCAGGCTTTAATCCCAACGGCCGTCTCACACAGTACTGTGGTTTGTTTACCTGGGAGAAGATAGATGAGGGATATGGAGCATGTAACATGAAGGTCCTCAAGGAAGTATATGACAAGGACAAGGATCTTTACCACGACGGGTACATGAGGCAACTCTTCAGACGGGCCCGGCACGGAATGTTGTGTTATGCCGAAGGTCCCCGCGTCGTGAACGTGAGAGGAGCTTGTGATGCCATGGAACTTGCCTGCCGCCCCTACGCCCCCAGAACCGTTGACAATTGCTGGAGTATAAGTATGAAATTGTCGTTTATATATATTTTCTTTTTTATGATCTTTTCAGTTGAGTACTCGAATGCTTTGTTGTGTGTGGCATGCACTGCTAAGCTGCCGGAGAAAGTAATCAAAGCAAAACGAGCAAAATAAGGTCAGGTCTTCAAGACCTAAAAGCACATCTTGATGATATTTTGCTAATTGTAAAAAAAAAATTGTATCGTTATGTAACGTCATACTGACATTTTTAAGGAGATGCAAGGTGTTTTAATCGTCAGCCTCCTCGTCTTCGCCGACAAGGACCCAAGTTTGAGACTGAGTCACG